CACCGGCCGGCCCGGCTCTTCAGCCCGGAGGTGCTCCCCGACTTAACTGCGGCTGGAGAGGGCCAGAGCCGAGGGTGGCCGGAGAGCCGGGCGGGGCTGCGAGCCGGCCTGGGCGGGAAGTGCATTTTGAACTTCAGCCCTGGACCTTCCCGGGAGGACGCGATCGCTCGAGCGGTGGCTCCCGCCCTGGAGCGCCCGCGGCAGCTGGGAGGGCTCTTGCGCCACTCTTCGAAGGACCCCCCCTGCAATGGGCAGCAGCCTCCCTGACAGGGGCTTAGAGGAAGCCGAGGAGTTTTCCTGGGAAGTTTGCTTTGACTCTGTGGGAATTTCCGGGCAGAGCGCCTGGGAGCTGGCGCTAGTGAAGGGGTCTGGCGAAGAACGGCCGGAGAAGATGCTGCTGTCAGGGCGGCGTTTCCAGAGGCCCCGAGACCCACTGAGCTCCCTCAGCAAGTGCAAGTGCCTGCTTGCGAGTCGCTGAGATGCAGCACATTGGGGCCCGGTTCCCCACCGGTGGGCAGCGCGTGTAACTTTTCTGGACGTTCCGCTGTGAGCAATGGGGAGTCCTGTACCCATCTTTGACGCGGGCGTGTCTGAGCGATCGTGGGGACGGCTTTCCAAGGTGTGAACTTCAGGAGGGCAGGGATTCACCTGCTCCAGACCTGTGACAGTCGCGTGTAGCCACGAATAGCCTGAAGTTTAAGAGCCAGGGAACTGGAGAAGTTAGATCTCTGTTGCTGCTGCTGGTGGTGTGACCTCAGTGGGCTCCTCGCAAGATGGGGCTAAACCAACAGGACTGGCCTCAGGGAGTTGTCCTGAGTACTGGAGGCCACACAGGGCCGGGCACGTGGTGCTGGGATTGGCCAGCTGTGTTGCTGTTACTGTTGAGGGGACGTCTGCAGAGCCCAGGGGGACACTGGGGCCAGCTCACTTGGTCGCTGGTAACGCTGGTTATAAGGCTGCTGTGCGGGAACCAGCAGTTAGCGTAATGGCTATGTCGCTGGACTCCCACGTAGTCAACCGCCATTCGCCTCAGTGTCGCACCCGGTGGCTTAAAACTCACGCCGGGTGCGTGTGCATGCGTGCCCAAGATCCCGAGAGGAGAATGGAGGAGAAGGGATTGCGGCGTGACCATCCCCTCTGGGGGGTGATTTCTCGCTTTCTATCTCTCTGTCTCTGTCTGGCGAGCGCATGCGCCCTATAGCGAAAACCTCTCCAAAAAAAAAATTAATTAATTAATTAATTAAATTAAAAATAAGGCTGCTGTGCTTGTCGCACTCCCTATCTTCCCTTTCCTGACTCTGGCTGCACAGATCTCCCTTGCCCTTCCCACTTCTTGTCTAGTTCCATCTTCTTGAGTTTTTTCTTTTCCTTCCTCCCATTCTTAATGATTTTTGCGAAACATAACTTCATT